ATATATTTTTATATATATATCTTTGCTTTAGTTCATCATTTTGTCATTGGAATGTAATATAGTCCAACACATATTTTTGGGAGATCATTTGTTCCAAATAAGGCGTTGTTTCTCTCAGATGTATACATCAAAAGGTACTTATATATATACACTCTATATATGTATATATATATATGTATATGTATATATATATATATATATATATGAACCAGTTTACAGTGATATAGCATTACTGAAATTCTTTGTTAAGATTACATTTCTTGCTATACATTTGGTACTGTGTTATCGTATGATAGTCCAGCATCAATTGTGGTGCTGCATAAACATTTTTACCAATTTTGAATGCAGATACTGTGTCGCACCAGCCAGTGTGTTTGAAACACTGTTGCTTCTTTTGGACAAAAAGAAACAAATTATCCTCCAAGCAACTCCCTCTTCAGTTCAGCCTTAAACCTCAGAATGTCACAACTTTACCTTCAGTGCCTTTCAGAGAGCCAGTATTTTGCATTCCAGTAGACGTGTGTGTGCATATTCCCCCGGTGTGTTGCATTGGGAGACGACTGTACTATAACTGCCTTTATACTGTCGCTGATTTGTAAACAAAAGTTTTATACAGTACACGCAGTATTTTGTATAAGAAATAAATGTGTTCATCGTGAATGAGCTCTCTCCCTGAGCTTCGATGTAGCCAATGTTAATCTCATCCGCATCACGTGTGTTTGTTCAAGTTTATTGATTCAATACAGCCGATGATGAGGTCAATAATTGATATTCATGATCAAACAGCAGGCTGACACATCCTTTTGAAAGATCATCCCGTAGCTGAAAAATAGCTGAGTAATGTACAGAATGTATAGTTCCTATAGGAGTGTGTGTGTGTGGTCTCAGAAGTGGATGTAGGAGATCTGCAGGTCGCCTTCTATCTCCAGCTTGTCGATCTCTTTGAAGGACTGCAGGCGGTGGGAGAAGTCGAACAGGTGCTGCCCGTTCACGAACACCTTGAACCTCTGGTCCCCGCAGCGGATGGACATCTGAGGCACGAGGACAGGGACGTCAAGACACGGCCGAGTCGAAATGATTTAAAACACACATGAAGGACAGACAATACTTACGTCGAAGTACTGTCCCTCAGCGAAGGGGCTCATGCTGAGCTCTCTTTCCTCCTGGCCCCAGTTACCTCTGATCATGCTGTTCCTCACCACGACGCCCTCTCTCACCCTGGGGTTCATGTGGAAGGCGATGTCCCGAGATCTGCTCACCACGAAGTTGATGCTAATTCTGCAACACACACGAAGGAGTGTAATCCGGGTCTGTTAGCAGCATTCACACTATAGTGATGGCGGTGTATGTATACACTCACACACACACACACACACACACACACACACACCTGGCTGCTCCATAGGGCAGCATGCCTCTGATGATGATGGTCCTCTTTGGGTACATCCCTCCTGGGATCATGTTGGAGTAGGGCACCGGCTTTAAACACACAACACAGTTAAATGTAGTTATAACAGTTAAATGAAAAAACAAAGATCTTTTCCCTCCATTTTTAAGAATATAAGTATAAGTGTTAGTTTGGTAGCATTGATCACCAGGCTAACATAATCAGTGTTCATTTGACTACTACTTTTTTTAACTATGATTTCGCCAACAAAGCAGATTTAGATTTGAAAAGCTTGCCAGCACCAGTGGTAACTTGTAATTAGTGTCATGGAGGCCTGAGTAGCTTCCTATCACGAGAAGAGGTAGATTACCCCATCGCTCATATGGCCCTGCATGTTCACCAGAGGTATTAACCAGCTGTCATATTTTAATTGTTTGTTTTTTTCTTTTTTGGGGATCAAATTGAATGTGTTGCAGTTCCTCTTTGTGACCACTAGATGGTCTAAATCAACTACATTTAAAAAACTCTAGTACGAAGTGAGGACTGAGCAAATAAAAAATCTTTTGAAATAGAAGTGGACTATGCGAACAGTGACGTGTAATTTATCTATTTGTTTACCCAGAATCCCCATTACTGTCAAGGTAGAAATGACTCTTCCTGGGGTTCGAACAAAAACACTACATACAAATGGAAAATGGAAAAAAACATTAAATTAAAATCCAAAGCAAAAGAAGGGAACACATATTACTTACAGGGTTGTAGACCGGCTGCCCGCCCATCCCCTACAATCACAACAACAGATTCATATTGTATTAGCGGACAGTCTCACACACTGAGGGCTTTATGAAGGTGTAGTCATGCAGTGTTCTCACCGGCAGGCTTGATCCTGGGAATCCTCCCTGACAGGAGAAAAAATAAAGCTATTTGTATACAAACACTGAATACACACTATTATTTACATGCAAACTAATTAGCTTGGCTTAGTTAAGTTTAGAAAAGGTGGGGAAAACACAAAAGGATCATTTTAACGCGGCTTCATACCTCCATACCACCTCCCATGCCTCCTGGATATCCACCCTGTGAAGAAGAACAATGTTTTATAAAGAAAGACTTTATATATGATTTTGTCATTTATTGTAAGTAGTTCGACCTTGGTAGGCGTTATTTAAAAAAAAATTAAATGAATGAATAAAAAAGAAATAGAAGACTTTATTCACCCCCATGCCACCTCCTGGATGTCCTCCCTGTTGAAAATAAGTGACCGTTTTAAATCCTGTACAACGCTGTGTCGAATTTCCTTGTTATTTTTTAAATATGCATACTTACTCCCATTCCTCCTCCCATTCCTCCTCCCATTCCTCCTCCCATTCCTCCCTAAAAACACCAAATAGAAGTGTAAGACTAAACAGATGACAAACCTCATTAACATACACTCTATTCAGCGTTGTAAAAAGTAGTTGTAGTTTTTTAACACAGCAGATGATGTTGCACACTCTCACAAACACAGACACACTGTTGCTGATACCACATTACTACATACTACTGCGACTTCTACCACTGGTACTGATACTAGTTTTGGTAGCATTCACATTACAGCTTGTAACAAGGTAATAATAGAGTAACATCTTGTAATAGCGGTGGAAGAACAAGGTAATAACAGGTCATTTCAAGGTTCATGGTCAAGGTTCAGGTTTACTCTCATGTGTGCGGACTTCATGTCCACGAGTGAGCAACACCCTTAGCAGCCATTAATGACGCCCGAGCAACCATTAATAACACTCTAGTAACCAGTAGGAGCCCAGTAAGGTTTCAGCTTTGCTCAAGCTTGAAGTAAAACGAAGCAAGCACCAACATTTCACTGTTTTACTCATTCCCATTCCTCCAGGGTACCTATTCATGCCACCTCGAGCACCCTGACGCAGAAGCAGAAAGCATTTAGGAAGCATGCTCTATGATGCTGCTGAATGTTTTTGCCCTTAGCAAAGCCCAAAGCATCGAGCTGACAGCTTCGGGGTCAGTGAGCCTCACCCCGATGATGTTGATCGTCTGGATGCAAACGTCTCCAGCGATCTGCATCGCACGGACTCGCTCCAGAGGGAGGCGGTGTTCGAAGGTGTAGAAGTCGTTCCCGTTGACTTTGAACTGCAACAGGATCACGTCAAATGTTAAGCAGAGTGTGTGTCATATGTTCCAATGATAAAATATTGTGTATACGTTAATATAATATTGTTTGCAGGTATGCGTAGACCTCTGGTTGGTCTCACCTGGTAGCCCTGAGAAGTGGCCATGATGACCATTTCAAAGGCCTGGCCCTTGCAGAAGGGCATGTCGTGGATCTTGTCCTCAGACCCCCAGGACCCCTCCTGACAGGAGTTGAAGACCACCTTGTCCCTGCCGTCAAAGCGAGGGTTGAAGTGGAGGGCGATGTCACTGGACTCGGACTCATCGCAGAGCAGGTTGAGAAAGAACCTGCCACAAGTAACAGCAGGTGAACCACAGGCATTATGGGTAAAGCAAAGGAAAGCAAACAGTGCAGGTGGGGCCGATTGTAAAAAAAAAAATGAGGATGTTGTAAAAGAGTTAAAGATGTAAGGATAAAGTGGGTGTGTGCAGTGCTTACTTTGTCCTCAGTGTTTTGCTAAGGGGAGGGTTGGCTGATAAAAATGGAGCTGTGTGTTTCACACATGTTCTGATATCCAACAAGACAAAGAAACCTGCTCCACCCAGATTTTGAGCTTACACAAGGTGTTCCCAGAGTCAAAAGATTTAGGCTAGAAATGTAATAAAAGTCCCATTGCTAACAGCTCACACAAGTGGACCTTGTGTTAACATGATCCTTTTTGTGGAACTATTTTAAGACAAATATACCGTTCAGAGGTCTGGGATCGCCTTGACTCGTTTCAGTCAGATGTCTGATGGTCTTTTATGCTTTTAGGTAGTAGAAAGTCATCTTTACAAATAGATGTGCTATTTTGTACGAAGGGTTTGTTTTGTACGTGGAGAACAAAACACAGATTGACAGCTGGAAGGGCAGAAAGAGACAAAGATCTCTCAGAGCAACAGTTGAATAAGAACAGAGGAACTCAGCAGTCTTTGGTGAAAGAAACTGGAAGCTTAGCATCAAAATGTGAGCAGGTTTAAACAGGAACCGCTTCCTGTTTCTGTGTCGATGGTTTCAATATAATGCAGCTTTAAAAAGCTGGAATATTAACAGGTGTGTTGCCAATATGTGAATGTCGGCTGAACATACTATGGACGTAAAAATCAAAGTTTAAACGGCTTCCCCAAAGTCATTAGAGGCCAAATTCACGTTGTGGTTCAATAATGATTGAGGTCCACTTATGCTTTTCTGAACAGGAAATAGATATTATTAACGGAAAGAAGAAAAACATCAATACAACAGGTGCCTCCAAACTCTTGTACAGCAGTATATACTGTGTATATATATATACTCACCTGGTAATGTCCTCAGGAATGGACCCCTGGATGTAGATGGACACTCCTTCCCTCAGGCCTCCATGAATGGGCCCCAGATAGGGAATTGTCTGTACGGTGCACAAAAAATATTCATCCATCCACACTGCACCACAAAGCTCACCACACAGCTCCACATGATTACACAGTAAATCACAGATTCACAAAGTCAGGATGTGGAGGATAAGTGTTGACTTCACTGTTTACTACTCTTGGATGCAGCGGTGGGAAGAAGTATTTACTCAAGTACTATTTTTAAATCACTTCTCAAAACACATTTTTACAGACTGGCTTTATGTGATGTCGTCGCTTTTCTGTTTTATTTTTATTTGTTGATTTTACTAAATTAATTTTCTTTTATTTATTTCTTAGTTTATTTCTATCGTATCGAATGTCTCACTGAGTTTTCTGTTATTGTTATTATTGCCTTGCTTTTGCTGCTTTGTCTGTCAAAGCACTTTGTAAACTGTTTTTAAAGGTGCTATATAAATAAAGTTATTATTATTACTATTACTAATAAATTCACTGAATCCTATAATGGTAATGAAAACGATGAATATCTTCAGCATCCAATGACGACTATCCAGAATTATAATCAACCAAGAAGCTCACACAATTCTGAAATCTTTATACTTTCATTAATGTGGACAACCACATCCGAAATGAGACATCTGAAATATAGATATTTTCATCTGGGGTATATGCACAAAAAATATTCAATATGTGTCAGTTTTAGGTCATATTGTGGTCCAGAGTGCAACATAACTCTGTACCAGAATGTAACCCCTCTGCATTAGTGCAATGCAGTACCCAGCAGCAGTCAGTGCAGATACTCACAGGGCCGTAGATTGGCTGATAGCCAGGAGGAGCAACAAACGACATGACAGCAGCGGTGTGAGACGGAACCGGGAGGGTTTTGTTAGGAAGTGGTCTCTGATGGAGGCCCAGTTTTATACCAGGGATGAGCGAGGGGCAGAGCAGCGGACCAAACCCAGGCCCGCATCACCGTGTTTACTTTGGAGGCACGGGGTGCACATTAACTGTTGACCCAGCAGAGGAGTGGCACGGTGCAACAAAAGACTGGAGCGAGTAAAAGTATTTTTAAAGTATCAAAAGTACTAATAAGACAGAAACAGACCTCTCAGAGTGTCACACTATTATTGGAATTCTATTACCAATGTATGATTGAGCATTTTGCTGTTGAGACTGGTCCAGATGGAGATGATTTGAGCTATTTTATGGGGAGTTTAATCTACGAAAGCTCATAATTTATAAACTCACTGTCAGTTGGTTTTGCAAACTCCCAATCTGTGCAGTAGCTAGTACTTAAAGCTGTCAAATACGTGTAGTGGAATAAAAACCATCCATCGCAATATCAATGGAGTAGAAATAATAAGCATGAAATAGAAGTACTCAAGTAAAGTGCCTCAAATTTGTACTGAACATGTACTTTACTTTCTTTACTTTCCACCGCTGCTTTTACATTATTTCTTCATTCATGATTACTGCTTTAGAACACTTCCTTAATCTAACACAGTAAACAATTCTGACATGATACAATCTTTAAGCTACATCTGTTAGTTTACTTCTCTTTGGTTGTGGAAAAGACAACAAATGTTGAATTTTCTGAAGTGTATATCTGTGTAGATGATCTCAGCACATTAATTGAGAAACCAGAGAGAATTGAAGGAGGGTCCGTCTATGATTCATAACATATCTTACCAGCCTGCCTATCTAAGGCAAACAGAAACACAAGTAACTCTTATCTGGCACTCATGTCTGCCAGCATACACTAACTTTATATGCATACTTCATGGAGGCAAGAGGTTACTTCAACAAATGCTACAGAGTAAACATTCACGTTCACATACCCACAAACACACAATCTGTCAGGGGACAAAGGCGTCAGTGATACATGGGTGTTTCCTGAAAGGCTTAAAGTGTAACAATCCACTTCTGATATTTGATTAAGATAAAAATGTTGCCTAAGCTGCCATGACACTGCAATGCAGACTTCTGATGGGGGACATTTCATTCACTTAGTTCACTATCGAGTACACCAGCAGGCGTCTTCATAATGACATAGTGTCACGGTCAGTGCTGTAAAGGCCCAATAACCAGCTAAAGATATTTATAACGGAATCATACCTCCAAAGAACATTTTTCAGTGACTATGTGGCCTATAATGCATTATAAACATATTTATAGTGTACAGTTCAATAAACAGACTATAATGGATTGTAAGCACTCTTTAACACTCACAATGCTTTATAATAACATATTAATAATATATTATAAAGCATTGTATGGTGACTCAAGGTCAAGTATGATTCCATGATTGTTTTTTGTAAATAGATCATTTGAAGTCCCATGGTTTTAGTACATTTTAGTTTTTGATAACACATTATAATCACTGTTATAATCAAATTATAAGTTACTCTAAATGGTCATTACTGGCTTTAAGTAAAGTTAAAATCAGATAAGTTTTGCGCGTTGTTCATAGATTTTACTGACTTATAATCACATTATAAATTATTTATAATACATTATAATATATTAGTTCTATAGGAATAATAAAACACTATATTTGCAAAAAGACAAAGTATCTTGATACTTGACCTTAGTCATTATAAAATGCTTTATAATGTGTTTATGATTGTTATAAACCACTGTCAATATTTAGGAGTGCTATTAATTATGCAGTGGTATAAGAAGATACTGCATTATGAATGTTTTTAAGGCATGTAGACATGGCGTCATAGAAAGTGTAACCACATTTTCTTATTTATAAAGGATATTATAGGGAATTAAATCCTCATGTAATTTTACTTAAACTACTAAATATTATTGTTTTAATATACTGTAAATGCATTTGAAAGATGTCAATGTGCATATAAATGGACATATTAAGGGACAAATGTGTCAGAAATAAACCACCATGGAACAATTAAAGAAGAGAACCTGAACATTGTCAGATGCTCACAGACCGTTTTTACATGCAGGTTATGTAATATGCAAATATCTGTTGATGTTCCTACCACAACATTTACAATACACCTCAGGGACGCATGCCTACAGACACACACATTCGTACACATAGACTTATAGTGACCCACGAGGCATTCCCTAAACCAAAAATATCTTCATACTTAAAACTGGTCCTCACAAAAGATGGAACAAGCGCACACACACACACACAGTGAGCTTCACATGTAAATGAGGACACATGTCCAAGTTGTCCTTAAAATAATCTGTTTATTCTGTATTGAAACACAGGGTTCAGTCAGAGGACACTCAGTCAGGTGGAAAGTCAAGATCTCCAGTCAGCTGCCTCCACGTGGACCACAGCTGCAAGTAGCTACACACTTCAGAGTCATCAGCAAACAAAATACTGCTCTGCCTCTGACAAAGTGTGTCGAGACATTCGATGCGAGACGGAGAGTTTTTATGTGATCCGTCAAAGGATTAGTGAGACAGGACTGTCTGAGATCGACGCAGCGCACGTGACTCGGAGAAAAAGAACCGATCTATCGTAAAAACCTAACTAGCAAAAACAAGAATGTGCTCTTCTGACTGCAAACTGGGCATTAACTTCAGTGTGAGAACGAGTCTCTCCACCGCTGTGGGTTTTTCACAAACAGGGACACGCGACGTGTTCAAGTCCGACGGAGAAGAACGATCGCTCAAATTCCTCAAGCCCTAAAGAAAAATAAATATATGTATTTATGTAAAATATGTCTTTTCATCAAAAGGCCTCTAAGCAGCCCAGACGTTACTCCGTTATACACATGACACAGTGGCCAAGATGTACACATTAAATACATTCACTAGTTATTTCAATGCACAGACAAAAACTTATTTGTGCATAAAGTGTCATAAAACAGACTGTTGGCCAGAAATACAGACGGGCTAAAACGGTCGTCTTCAGAAGATCTGATCTGCATATAAAGAAGAATAAATACCCTTGGCATTCTCCTCTACTGCATGTGTGTACATCATCGCTGCCTTATATGGCACAGAGACACCAGTGGAGAGAGGGGACCACATGCGTCCAGGGACGCATTGTAAGACTTCAGAGTGCAAACTGGGTTCGTCTATACAGCCGATTCACACCGGTATGTGTCGCGTACGCAGATGACACTTTATTATCCCGGCGAGTTTTCATTCACGATCGCTTGTTTGTAGACTGGTTTTCTTTCGAGAGAGGGAGAGAAAAGAAGAAAAGGAAGCGAGACGGGGCCTAAAACATTCACTGCTCCCTCGAGGATCTCGGAGATACGACGGTGAGCAGCTGAATTATTTTTCTTTCAAAACGCTCACTCTCATTGAAACTCCAGAAAATTAGAAATGAAATATCAAATGGCAACAGCCACATACAAAAACACCAACAACTCCCAACCTTACAAACAATATAAATAAAACATATCCACTCTAATCTCAAATAAAAGTGTTAAAGCTAAAAATCAGTGACATTGCTATAGGCACTAAAACGTTTACAGCAGTAGCGACTGAAAGAGCCCGTTTTGTATAAATGCACTGATACACAAAGGCAGTCTATGTATATTTTACACCAAAAAGGCCGTGTAGTGTTTTCATAGCGCAGTAAAAAGGCCCCTGTCTGTTTATGCCTCGTGATATTATTCTTCTGCTTCCCTCAAACCTCTCTCGTCGACATCGTGCTGCGGGTGGTACAGCAGTGCAGTCAAAGTGTGCATAGCTTCAAGATAGGAGAAACTAAGAAAATAGATGTGTTCAGAGTCTACATTTGTAATCTTTCCTCCCTCCTCTCCTCTCCTTCTCCCTCAGACGTTAAGGATGCGGGACGTTATTGGAGCTGATCCTCGTACTGCTTCCTGAAGCAGTCTCCAGCAGGGAAGAAGTCCCAGCATCGCTCCTGGTACAGCTTCCACACGTAGGACTCCTGATACACAGAGGTGTAAAAAAAGAAAAAAGAAAAAGAAAGAATGATTTTATGAACAAAAACCAATGTACACCAACCGACCTTATGCATGTCTGTTTACTGACCTGTCCTGTGTGTTCTGTTTCATCTTTATTGATGAGATACATCAGGAAGAACCTGAAGGTGAAATAGAGAAAACAAATCAAACATAATACATTTTAAACAGTAAAAGTGCACTAAACACAGGCGATAGACTCCTTTGCCATCGTCAGTAGACGAGCATGCCTCTTTTCTTTTCTTTTTCTGGTGTGTCGTGATTGACGTCATGAACACGGTGGTTACTTCGTTTTATATCTGTCACTTATTCAGTCTCTCTTTCAAACTCTGAAACCAGAGTTGGAGATTTCGTTTCTGTGAAGTTTGTTTGTTTGTATGTTTTTATGATCAGTGAGTTAAAATGACTGTTTTTCTGACTGGAGTCTGGTGGCTTTGTACGTCAATAAACTATTGAAATTGCCTGAGTCCCTGTTGATCATATATATGTGATCATATATTCACTTTAATGCATGTCGCATAGCAATGCACCGGAAAAAGGGAATAAACGAGTGCGTGTCCCCCGGGTGTCATTTGTCCCGGAAATGAATACTGACTGAAGACAAGGCCAGATGTTAGTGTGTGTTAGAAGACTAAAGCCTATTTCCCACTGGACAAAAACATCAACACTGAATCTAAAATGATCAAACCCTCGAGGACATCTGGAACTCTGGAAGTAAACGGTAAATGAGTGGAAACATACTGTATTAAAAGGAGGGTCACATCTGCACTCTGCCAGGTAACTCACATGTAGTTGGCCAAGTTATGTTCTTCTAAGGTGTGCGTCTCGAAGCCGTGCGGCGTCGTGTCAAAGTAGTCGCTTCCAATTCCACAGATGAAGCACTTTGTCTGGAGGGAGACGGGACAGTTGAGGTGAAACACGCTCTCGCCTTGTAACTGAAGGAGAATCAGTGACGTGAGGTGTTAAATCCCCCTGAGAGTCATCATCTTACCTCCATGTCCTCTCTGACCTGCTCCTGCTGGTCTCTCAGCTCTCCAAAGGCATCGATGATCAAACCTGAGAGACACACACAGCATTTCTTATGAGTCTGAAGATCAGAGGTCTTCTCAACAAAGTTACCATGTCTACAGAGGTCAGTGTGTGAGCTTTTGGACAGATGTTTTCATCAGATTTAGAATTCGAGATGGCGAACTTCAGGTCACAAAACATTTTTTTCCTGAAATGTCTTCTCTTCTTCCTTAGATTTTCCAATTTTTCCAAGTCTCTGCCCATGTTCACTCAGTCAGGAGGCTTTCCTCACATCACATCAGAAAACACAGACATTTTTCTGAGGTAGCTCTGGATGCAACTCATGTATCCAGTTGTTTGCTCACTACTACACACGCATCTTCACTTAACCCTTACTATTCAAATCACTTCTGGGTTGTCCTGAGACTTGCATTATACTGCAACAGTTGTTTGAGTTTGTAAACTGATGTTTTGAGATAGTTTTGCAGCCCCCATTTACTTCAATTCATCTGGACTTTTCTCCATTTTTTGAAACCTCTGTTCACCGTGGAGGAATGTGAAAATAAATGAAGGCAACATGGGGTGAGTATATACGTAATGATAATCAAATGTAATGATGTCATTTTGGGAGTGTATTATTCTTTTAAAGCTGTTATGTGTTTAATTCTGTGATTATAGCACTTTCAAATTATTCTATTGAAACAAGTTTTTGTTTGAGACAATCCAGGGGAACACTGATGCAATCCACAACCCATCCCTCCTCTGCACTGCTCTCTGCCTCAGCATACACTACCACAGGCAGGCACCAATGTCGGAAGCTCTTTACATAGTGTTAAATTACCCCCAAACTACAAAGAGCACTTTGAGAGAATTCACCACTCATAAAAACATACCCTGGATGATAGCCAGCAAGATGACAATGACGAAGAAGAAGAAGGTGATGTCAAAGACCACTCGGTACAGCTCGTACTCGTCACCGGCCGGGTCCTCAATTTCATCTCCTATTCCACCACCAGCACGCACGCCAACGTACATGTGGAACAGGTAACACTGCGGGAGAGAGCGGCGAAAATCATGTTTCATAACACAAAGTAAAGTAAACCCCGATACCACGGTCCTACAGGCATCTATCTCTCTGCCCCGCCACTCACAGTCATCATGTCGTCACACTTCATGTCCGGTTCGTCCTCGTCCTCACTCATGTTGTAGAACTTGCGGAAGAAGTTGAAGGCCACCACGGTGTACAGGTACACCACCACGGCCAGCAGACCCACTGTCATCATCAGCTGTGAGGGACAGGTTTATGGGACATTAGTGTGCGGTGTGCAGAGAGCCTCGCGATGCATCATTAGAGTGGAAGTGTGCAGACCTGTTTGCCGTTGTGAGTAACAGAGGACAGGATGGTGCGCAGGGTTTTGACACCCATGGCGATGTCCAGAAGATGACAGGCAAAGAAGAAGTTGTTGTAGTGTCCGAGCAGAGACATCAACGTGTACCAGACCAGGTAGAGGAAGGTCTAAATATATGAGAGAGGGCTGTCAGTCACACTCAAGCTCTCATTGTCTAAATCAAACCATGAACTGCTTCCTTAACTCACATTGTCAGTGAAAATAACACCGAACTTCCAGATCTGGTACTTGATGTCAATGGCAGTCATCCTACGGAGAGGAGGACAGGTTTGTTCTCTGATATTATGCTCTTTAAACGCTGAATGGTTCATGTAGAGAGTGAACAGCACATACCAGCTAAACATTGAGGTGTCTGGTTCATGCTTCTTTTCATGAGTCATGGCGCTGACGTCCAGAGAAGCCAAGTCCATACCGAGCAGCTCCGCAATCCTCTCTCTGCCGTAGATGTCACCATATTTATCCAGCACCTGGGTGTCACACACACTGATGTCATTTCACTGCAAGAAAATATCCCTGACATTTCAAATCAAAGCTGTCAGGGAAAGAAAACTCACCTTTCTTTTCACAAACTTGTCCCAGTAATTGTTCGGGAAGGATCTGCATTGAGAAACAAAAAGCGTTTACCATATATTAGAAGTCTGCAACCTGACCAGAGCGTGACTACCCTGCAACATGAACCCTCCAGGCTCCATCATCATCGGCAATACAAAAATCGACATAAGTGTGTGTGTGTGTGATTTATAGGACAATATTTTAAGAGCTGTCATCTGATGTTATTATACATTTAGTACTTACCTTCACATGCTATCGTGCTGCTAACATGTAAACTAACATGCTTTATCTATATAGTTAGATGCTATTTTTAATCAGGTTTCAAATTTTTTATTTTATTTTAATTCTGTTGTCATTTCTTTAAGGCTTATTTTAACTAATAATAATAATAATAGTGTAAAATCTGTGATGCCCCTAAATCAAGGACAATATTAAGAGTTAAAGGTGGAGTAAGCAACTTTGGAGAAACCAGAATTAAACCAAGACAAACCTAGATTTTGAAAGTATCCAACTGTGAAAACCCCAGCGCCTCCCTACAGGCCTCCCTTTGAAGCCACTCCCCCAAAACACACTAACGCACACACCTGACTGCTGCCGGAGGACGAGGGAGCGTTGGGGGGGAGGAGCTTAGCGCATCGTTAGCGTGTCCAACTACCTCATGTCTCACATTTATGAAAACACCTAAGAATTAACGTAAACTAACTATTGTTAGCACTCCCATCTAGGAGCAGCTAACAACCAAATTTTGTTTAGAAAAACTAAATTTTTGGTAGACAGGCAGTTCGAATTGGACGGGCTTATTTCAGGCCTCTGACAGTCACAGCTACAGGATATTTTATATCGTATTTTGTCAGAGCATTTGAGTTATCAGTTGCTGTCTGGATCTACAGAGAATTTCAACAAATATCACTAAAATGTTTCGAACATGAATTACCTCAGCCAGCTTTAAATATATAATGAACTGTCAACAATCACCAGTTTTTCAGGTTCTGTGGGTTTGTTTGTGAAAACGCAGAGAACATTGGCTTTTGTCATGATGTATTCACAGAAGTCAGTTTCATTAAACAAGTGTTAACAGGTCTATTATTCTGAATATCTTAGAAGAGAGAGTTTGATGCTGAAACGTCGGGTTTGGGCTGGAATGAATTAGTAGGGTTGGGCCTACATCTGATGATGTAAAAGGGCTCTTACGGAGTGTTGAGCACCAGTCTGTCCCACTGGCCCTTGATGTCGTCGTCCTCAGGCTGCTCAGTGACGTAGACACCATCAAACTCAAGCTTTCTGGCCAGCTCCTTCTCTCTCTTGAAGATAACCAGAGGGACCTGAAGGGTAAAGAGGGAAAAGAAGACACGCTGCTTGAAACCCACAATCGGACACAAAAAAACCCCCCCATGTGTTGTTTTTTTTGTGGTGCAAACACAGCGTACCTTGAGGCAGTTATAGCCGATGATGCAGAGGAGGGAGAGGATGGTGTGGACGATACCGAAGAAAGCCATGGCTGGCTCCATGTAGCCTGTGCTCTCTTCCAAGAAGTAGTACAAGGGACTCTCCTCTTCGTCATCTTCTCCTCCTCCGTCATCTAATCCGGACCCATCCTCCTCAGCACCGGAGCCTTCAAACAGGCCAGAGCCCTCAAACATACCAGAACCCTCCAACGGTTCCGGGCCCCCCATGCCCGGAGGACTTTCAGACACCTGGAGAGGTCACACAGAATGAGTCTTTTAATTGTTGGTTTATTTGTGCGGCATGAAGGCAAATTAACAAAAATGTCAAGGGCACATTGCAAACATTACTTTTGAATACAGAAAGGTGGATCTTTGTGATCCCATTTTTATTGAGATAAAGATATGCATTGGAAATGACAAAAATGACAAATGATAAACACATAATTATAAATATATATATATATTTATATATTGATTTAAACAAATAAATAGAATAATTTATATACCCAATCATCAGTAGATCCACCTCAAATTTGAACATTGAGCCCATCTCACTAGTAAAAAGAGTTCCTTAATAAACTACGGTGCATGAGCCATCTCTTTTTTGGGAAATAGTGTGCTCCTTATTGACTGAGATCTTGAATTATGTAGTGCCGTGCTCCTCAACTGTATCATTGCTGCTGAATGACTCCTGAATGTCCTCCGAACAGCCACATAAAAGATGCTAGCAGTGTGATGGAGTCCTCCACATACGCTCACACGATGTCAGTGGTTATGTGTTTCTCTATGTTGTTGGTATGGAACGTTCAGCAGCTATATGGTGATTAAGAGAAAACCATCTGATCCTGGACAAAAGAGTTGATGTAACTTTATTGTAACACATTCCTCAGTGTGTTTTATGGAGATTTATTTGGGGGGTGGGTATCGCCACGAGTTGATACCATGTGTGTCGTCTAACGTTAGTTACAGATGCACAGACCTTGTAGAAGAGCAGGATGAAATTGAGAGCGAAGGAGATAAACAGGGCCAAGAACCGAAAGTTGTAGAAGTTGCGAGAAAGGTAGTTCTGTGAAGAAAACAACGGTACAGCCTTCTGAGTGACAATCATCCGGTCCAAACCAAATGAAATCAACATCTCAGTCTCCATTTCTACCTCACTTCATTACTTAAAAATACCAATATGTCACAGAACATGTCAGACTGCAGCCCCATGTGGTGGCTAACAAGAAAAATTCTAAAATATTTACTGTAACAGAGAGCTCCTCACCATGAATTTAATCCTCTGAACCTCCAGCTCATTCCACAGCTCGAAGCTGTCCTCGGCCGGTTTCTTGTCCTTCTTCGACTTCGTCTTCACCGTCTTTTCCTCTTCCACCTCAGGCTCCTCCTCCTTTACCTCTGGTTCAGGCTTGGCCTCCTTCTCCTTCTCTCCATTCTCGGTGCTGGACGAGACACATCAGGTGAAATACTTTCTTCTCTGGACTGTTTAAACATATGATAAAGCTGCCTGGATATGTACAATGGTGTATTAAGACTATTGTAGGAAAAATAGTTATTATTATTACAGAGCTGTGGGAGGGGGGCTTATATTCCCCAAAACAAGATTCAGTTATAAATTCACAAGAAAAAAAACTTTGCACACATTGCATCGTGTTCATAAAATAACAGAAACAACATGAAGGATAGCCAGCATTTATAATCCTTATAATCAATTTTCTTCTTGTAAATTTGAGTTTTTTTTCTTTAGAATGAACCACATGAATCACAGAGAATATCCAATTTTTTTCTCATAGATTTACAACTTTAATTTTGGATATTGGAGTTTTTTTTCTGAGGATATGAGCCCCCCCTCCCACAGCTCTTACCTAGAGTGGCCCTAGTACATTGTTGTACTGTAGATATGTGATCATGCGAACACTGAAAATGTCTCTACACATTTCTGTACAAAAAGTGAATTACATTCAAGATGATTCATAATTACTTGACACATTTGCTCTTAAATGTGGGAACTCTAAATGTACATTTACTTGTAAATTTGTCAATTAGCTGACATGGCTGCACGTCTTAGCTGAGAGTGAATCAATATTCGCCTCATCTTTAGCAGAAGCAGCTCAGTTTAGATGTTGATTCTCAGCAGGCAGCCAACTTACTCTGCTTTCTCGGTCTCCAGAGGAACCTCTTCTTCAGGTTGAACAGGTTGAACAGGTTGCTCTTCCTCTCCAGGTCCTCCCACTGTGGCTTCCAACTGTTTCAATAATTGTGTTGCGGTTAGTTAACGGATTAATGGAGAGCGTGCACGTTAAACAACAGTAACAGACAGAACGCCTCACCAATTTCCTCTTCAGCAGCGGCGTGCCCTCAGGAGTCGGAGGCTCCTCAGTCGTCGTCTCACCAAAGTCTCCGAGTCCTCCAGGAGCACTAAAGCCAGGCAGGCGTCCACCTTCCCCTCTCTCCTCGCTATCCTCCTCTTCCTCGTCTCCCTCCACAACATCCAAGAGGTCCGACCCTCCGTCTGCGTCTTGGATCTCTCGAGCCCCTGGTTCGGGCGGCAGGTCCTCATGAACTTCGTCCTGCGTGGGATCTGGCATGCTGGCTAGGATCTCCGTCACCGTCATCTTCTTGGCGCCCTCCACTAAGCCTCCGCCGAACAGCGCCTTCCATATGAGTGTGAAGAAGCCCTTGCATATGCCGTACACGAACATCAGGATACCCATCACGACGGTGTAGATAAACGTAACCAAGCCGATCACCATCTCCTTCACCGTCATTTTTCTTAGCTTGCGGTACCGACGCCGCAGGTTACGGAAGGTGAACATGTTGAAGAAGTCAAGCACGCTCCGCAGGAACTCCGCAAATGCTGAGGCGGACTCTGGAGGTGCTTCATCTCCATTGTCTTCATCGCCCTCCGCAGACTCTACCTGATCTCCCCCGCCCTCTTCTTCCTCCTCGTCGTCCTCTTCTTCGGCGCCGTCTCCCTCGGGCTCAGAGATCGACGCGGCGATGTTCATCTCAAAGATGGTGTCCTCGCAGAAGTTCACGAACATCTCCATCTTCTCGCTCTCCTGGCCCTCGTTGACCACGTCAAAGATGAACTGCCGTTTGGACTCTCGGACCTGCGGCATTTCCCACTGGTTGCGGTTCGCCTCGCTGATTTCAAAGTAGATGCGCTCGATCTTCCTGCTGGCTCCCATGATCTCAATGCGGCCGAGGAAAGGGCGGAAGTAGTTGATCACGCTGTCGGCCTGCTCCAGGAAGTTCTGAAGGCGGGTGTCGTGGGGCACGTGCTCCGACAGGTTCGTGAGCAGGACGGCGATATTGAAGCCGATGTCTTTGGCCGGCTCCTGGAACCGATCGGCGAATTCCTCAAAGTTGATCATCTCGTTCTCGTCGGCCTCCGAGCAGGAGAGGAGGAACTGGATTTCTGAGGGAGAGTACTGCTTCTGGCTGTCCATGGCCTTGGAAAAGTCCTTCTTGGAGATTAGCCCGCGGGGGTCGGTCACGTAGTCCCGGAAGGCGTCGGACGCCACTATGTCCTTGAGCTTGAGGAACATGTCGAAGAACTTGAGGATCATCTCCACGTTGCTGGAGGACTCCACCAGCATGTCAACCATCTGCCTAGCGATGGTGCCGTTCACCACATTGCCTGCAAGGAGCGGAACAAGGACGAGAGGAGATGAGAAATGTATAGAAAGCACGCAACGGAACGGAAAGGACGTCACTAGACTGGGACGGACATCGTACCCTCAAGTAGAGACAGAAGCATCACCACCATGTCCTTCTGCAGATCCAACAGCTCCTTCAACAGTCCAATTTGACTGGAGTCCTGCAACAAAACCAAAAACACAAAACAAAACACAAAGAGTGGAGAAATATGTTCTTAACATGTGTACTGACGGATGATATATTACAGTTTGAGACGATATGTGCATCTTTCAAGGACAAAAAACACGGGCAGAGTAGCTACCTCAGAGTGTGCTCTACTCCAAAAATGATCCTGGGTTTGCATTTTTAAATAAAGAACATGCATTTTTATCATCACAGATAGTACACTTGATGTGACAGACAGCAAAACAAACACATTGGAAACACAGGCAGGTATGAGAGGAGGGAAGAAAAAAGCCTCTGCTAGACAGCAACGCCTTTCCCCTTTTATCTGAAAGAGCATTCGAGCGAGGAAGACGAACAGAACTGCAGACGCTGATCTTAGCGCTCCTGAAGACCGGCACCAGTAGATAACAAGAGTTGCTAAATTGTTTAGACAGTCTAAAGTGGCAGTCAGGCTGGTGAAGGTCTAGAGGAAAAAAGCTTTCGGGATGTGCAAGCATCAGCCACCTGTAAAATTGCATTGGCGCCTTTTAATACCTCTACGACACAAAACAACAAAATATAGAAAAACAGCAGAAATACAGCGAAATGAAAAGAAGCAAAGCGAGACATTTAGATGCTTAAGGCAACAATGTGAAATGAGTCTCATAAATTAGGAAGGAATAATTAACCAGTGTTTTTTTTTCATGAATAAATTATATTTGTTATATTTGTTGTATACCAATTTTAACAAGGGAATAACATCTAAGAATGCGATTAAATTTACCTCGTCAATCTTTATTCAAGCCGTCTCTGAACGGACAGTCCATTCACATGTCCCCTGTATTCAGGGACAATATCTAGTAATTGAATGTATGGCTTGTTAGAACACCTAAACAATAATACAGAGGGAAATGGAAATGATTTGGGTATTCAGCTGCGTAATAAATAATGTGATGAAGCATAATATCTTAATAAAAATGTTTTAAAAAAAAAGTCTTAGCGGGCCTCTAAATGAGATGGCGCTGGCAGAGAGACACATTCTTACGCCATTTCGTTGTCCAGGATCGGGGTGCATCTAACAGGGTTACAGATGAAAATAAAAATGTTATCCATCAACATTTTTACTTTGTTTTTGTATTTGTCTAAACCTGGACAGGCCAAATGTTCTAAATGACGCTGCTTCTCATCCAGTACAAACACATCAGAGAGGACACACACATTCAGTGCAGGTGTTAAAGCTAATTTTTAGTCTCAACAGAGTTTGTGAAAATGTATGTATGAGCTCAGATGAGTTCATCTGAAAGTGCTGATCCAAAGGTTATTATAGCTTACCTTTTTAATAAAAAAAACCTCATAACCTACCATTTGAAAGATATTCAAGATATGCAAATACAAAAATGCATTTTAAACAGCAGCATCAGTAGCAATCAACACAGACTGAGCAGGGAACACCGCAGCTCTTTGTTAGGTCAAACAAGTTACAGACCGCAGGCACACATTATTCAAAGCAAACACACGTTCAAACCCTGATCACTGGTCAGTACTACCACATGAATCTACACGCAAATAAGGTGAGGTGGATTAACCGTATGATATAGAATCACGAAGAAAATGAAAGAGAACTGTTTTTCCTCAAATTCTGCCACCTTAACTTGAATTCATGTTGTTGACAACCTGAAAGTGGTGAACTGAATGTGGTGAACAGTGTGCCATAATTCAGCAGCACACTGATAAACTGATATAATGTAAAAAAAGCAAAATTTAACAAAGACTATTTCAAATCAATTAACATTGCTAGTAAATGTAAAAACAACAACATGGCTACCGAGAAATGAAAACAGTATTTAGTAAGTTGACATAAATTCTACATTAGTTGTAATTGAGTGTCTGTGGCGACATTTCCGGACAAAAAATACTGTGTGAAGTTACTGCTGATGCAAACTGAACATTTCCTACAGCTGCAGCTTCACATTAAATGCATTTAATCGGCGAAACACGAGTTGACTTTTATTTTGAAGTGGCCACAGGCTGCTTCAATGTACGGATTTCTCATTTTGTTAAATTTGGACATGCCTGGTGCAGCGCAAACACAGATCACGATTGCTCACAGTTAGTTAGAAAAACTTTATTATATGACTATAGTTAGTTTTGCTGCCCCCCGGCATTCTGGGACTTGTAGTCTTAAAGCACGTTTGCTGTTCCATCAGTAACATCTTTAGGATTACCACCGTAAACATAAAACGGCTGAGTAGAGACGCAGAAACAATCGGACAAAGAGAATAGGGGAAAATCAATTAATTAAACTAAATAATCACAGATATAACAAAAAAAATTACATACTTTACTCTGCAAGAACCATGAGAGAGACAGTTCACATAATTAGTATACTCGAAGAGGACTAACGAATTGAACTATATCCTTTGGAAATGTGTACACTTCTATTTGATATTGCTTTCATCTTTTGGTCGACTGAAATACAACAAACACATTATTCTTGATTCTCTACAGATCCATGATATACGAAGGGAAATAAATCGGAAGGCTACAAAAAGGTTAATAATGAGTCGGGATGTTTCTTACCTGAGCAAGTTTCATCATCATATGAGCAAAGACGTGCAGGAAGCCCACCACAGCGTCCCACAACCTGCTGTGGGCCAGAGACTGCTGGTTTCCAGTACAGGGACCCTGACAGAGACAGAAACAAGGTGGGCAATGTAGATAAAATCCCAGTGCTGACATCATGCTAGGGGATATATTTTAACATTGTACTGTGTTTCAAAGTAAATGTTCTGAAACAAACACCTGGCTTTAAAGGGTGGATAGTTTCAGTGTGGACAGAAGTTTAAATTCTAGCTTTACGGTTTCATTTCATTAACTACAGTGTCTTGTCTTTTTTAGCTCGACTGGGTTGTGTTTAGTTATTATACTGGATGTGGAGAAAGTAGGTTTCATAGTTTTATTTTGAAAGAAAAGACTTCCTGCATTTCCTTTCCTACAAAGAGGGCGTTACATGCAGTGTTCAGGGGCTCTCTTACTTGGATGTACTCAGTCAAGCTGTTGAAGACCTGCTTGGCCACAGTCATTGCTTTGGAGAAATTCCTCTTACCAGGATCATCAATAATGTCTTTTCCTGAGTAGTACCAGTAAAAGTCACTGATCGACTCCTGCATACAGGAAGGAGGAGGAAGAAAACAAAAACTTTTAAATTATACCGTATTATTAAATTGACTGAAAAATGTAGTCTCAGTAGGACATTTATACAATTAAAGTCATGTTTACTTACCTCACTTGAGTTAGTATACCAAATAAAAAGACCATATTTTCTGAAATAAATGTATGTGTGCTGGTTGAGGAACAAAAAAACCTCACAGTGATAATAATAACATGAAACAACCATCAACGAAACAGAGCGGCTATTCACAAAAGTAGCTACAATCTGGAGAAAGTGGGACAAAGATCAGAGAACCTGAAGTCTCAGCAGGTAGTCCACCGTGCAAATGATGATGTTGATGGTAGTGGTGCTGCCCGTCTGAGTTCTCAAGTAGTTCTGAAAATCTGGAAACAGAACAAAAAGTGCGCTTTAAATGGAGTTTTCAACAACTGAAATGTCATCATTTACAGTGATATATAAATGAACAAGCGGTCCTAGCTGGAGCGTCATTTGAACACACCAGCTTCGGCTCCAGCTTTGACTCACCGTTGTTGTGGCCCTCACAAAGAAGCTGCAGGAAGCGGAAGAGGTCACACGTGAATTCATCGTCCGCCATCACTTTCTCATCTGGCAAGAGGGACACAGGAAATGCAAATGATTCATGTTGAAAAGTCTCTCCATCATTCTGCTGTGTTAAGGTATATTAAGTTATTACTGGAAGGAAGAAGTAATAGAACAATGCACTAGTACGTGTTTCCATCTGAACAAGTCATTTAAAAAAAATATTTTTGAATCTAAATGCAAAATAATTCTGCTTCTCAGGCAAAACTATTTCACCAGTTCCAAAGACAAAATCAACTTTTTACACAATAGTCATTTTATTGAAGCTAGTGCAGAGATCCTTTCTAAATATAAAACATATATATATTCAAACTATTTTAACAAGGAAAACTGCACAGGGAATTAGAGTTCAAATATCTAGTTTTCATAATATTATAAAACAATAAGGCTGAATCTGAAAACAGTCGACTTGTTAAAACAGAAGAATCCGTATTCAGATTAGGCATCAACTGTGTTAATCTGGTTAAATGGTGATTATGGTTATCCAATATAACGTCACGCATTTACTGATACACACTTAACACTGCACAATGTTACAGTGGCAGATTTAGTAGTGAAATATTATCGATAAGCAAAACAAACTTACCTGCAACAGTAGATGAAACTAAAGCAGAGTGTGTGTGGTGACGCTGATTAGTGCACCGTGACTGTACACACATGTGCATTGTAAAAACAGTAAGAGTGTAAGTACCATCACTTCATACCACTCCCCTTTCATTAGAATGGGTTAGAATGCGTTTGTCAGCAGGAAAGGGAGGCCGAGAAAACGTTACCTCCGTCTAGCACTCCAGATACTGTTTTACAGAAAACCTCTATTCAACAAAACTCGATCGAACAGCAGATCATCACGTTTAAATGGACATGGGATACACAGATACATGTCACCAGGAAACCAGGGAATAACAACAGATACAGATACAAATCACGAATGAAGACGGTGAACACACAAATACAGAGATGAAGCTCAAGGCACTCCGGCATGCAGGACAGATCTACTGAACTCTGCATGTATGGATGTGTGTGGATGTTGGAGGAAACATAACGAATAGATGTCGAATTGTGAGTTAACCGCTGTTTGTGTCAGGGTGGAAGTAAAGGACGCCAACTCATCTCACAGGACGCGAGTAGCTTTTTAAGTTCATTTCAGTATCTTTTGACTGAGATATGTTTGACTTCATTTGATTTTAAATCCCATCCATTACAAAATACACACTTTACAGCTCTCTATTGGCATGCCATCAGAAAGTGGATACTTGAAAAACTGTCGTAGTCAAAAATGCACAAGCATGCTCAGATGTACTCATGACAGAAAAACAGAAACGTGGCGGTGGAGTTGATCCTCATTAACATGCTCTGTATGAATAAATAAATACATTTAAATGCACTAATACATGTGGGAATTACTAGAAAGCACTGTTCTGAGTAGCATTTAGTTTTTCTCTCTTATCTTGACTCTTTTCTCATTTTCATCCAGTTATTTCTTCCTGTTATGATCCACTCTTTGTCCTGATGGAACAGAGGACTGAGGAGAGAGCCCTTCCCATCTTCCGTGTGATAAGGATTTATATGCAGTGACTTCACACAGATGGTCTAGCTGTGTGGGTCAAACTACATTTAAATGATGTGAATGAGAGCGATACAGGACTTAGAGAGTCCCTGCTGCTGCTGCTGCAATTCATTTCAGAGTTTCTAGGACACCGGGTCAGTGTAGTTCTCTACGGCCGACTGGAGAGAACTGAGTGGGAAAGGAGGAATGAGGTTACTGCCTTTCCTTCCCAATGATCAGTCACAAGACTTCAGTCAGAGTTACAGTAGATCTGCGATTAAAAACACTCAAGGACGAAAATCAAACCTCACAAGCGACTGTAAAGGTTGACTTCACTCGGTCCTTGAGTGTGAAATGAAATGCATATTAAGGTCACAGCAAGGAAAAGACTAGTCGGGTGATTGAGAGCTAAAAAATAGAAAAAAAGGGACAGAGGACAGAAAAGGAGGGACAGAAAGAAAGCAAATATATGAGATCATTTACCACGTTCTAGCTTCTTATCTGAGCACCGTGAGAACAGCAAATTGACGTGTGGGAGAGAAACATGACCATGGAGGGGGAAAGGGTCGAAAACGGGCAAAGTGAACGAGATGAGGGAGAGAGAAAGACAAAGAGACGCAGTGAGTCCAGCAGTCTTAAGACTCATAGATCAATAGTCATAATGCTGCGTTTAATGCAAGAGCGTCCTGGCTCCAACACTCCTAGAACACACACTTTCATGAAAACATACCTGCATCCTCAAACAGGCAAACTCAGACACTCACTAGAACTAGAAACATGTCACATTGTGTCTCAAACCAATGCACAATGACGTAGGAGAACAGGGATGTGACAGTGTGTGTGTGTGTGTGTGTGTGTGTGTATGGCAGTCTGTATGCAGTGAGTTCAGATAGTGTGTGGCAGTAAGAAGCTGTAGACCATACTCACTAGTCCCTTCCTCTGAAACCATCCCAAGTCCCTCGGCCTTGTTTTGTCTCTCAAAAGCATTCAAGTCCAAAACGCTGTCAACATGAAGCATTCGGTCAGTTTAGTTTAGTTTATGCAGTTCTACAAACTTTACTCACAATAAGCCCTTTCACTCTAAACATTGTTTAGAGAGCAACAATCAAAAAACGAGAGAGATCAAGAACAGAAATCCATGACAGACCTGCAGGTCTGCATCAGAGCCTGAACGCTGAGGAAGAACCCCACATCCTTTTTATCCTTCAGATAGTCCAGCATCCTCTGCACACAGACAGGTTGACAGCAAGCAAGCAACAAAAGCGATTAAGATGGTGAGTAGCATCCTCATTCAGTTGAGCTTTAGTCTTAACGCCATCTGAGAAGTTGTCATTGCAAACTGTTTGGAAAAGGGCAGGCACTTGAGTGAGTGGATGGACCATCTGTCAATCAAACTCTTGCCGAAGTCAGTCGGGAGAAGAGCGAAAAATGTCTTTTTTCCGTGGACAAAAGCCCTCAGTGCTCTACTTTTAATGAAGAAATACTCTCCTGTTCAGATAGAACTGATGCTATCGCACCATCGCCGCTAACATCTTCAGGACATTGTTGTCTTGAACAGACAGTTCCCTCTCTGTGTAGCTTGACATACACCTAAATCATAGCCGGAGCTGCCAGCAGCTCCTCACAGGCCTCTGATTGGTCCGGACACAAACACATTACTTAAAGCCCGACAAGATGGATTTTCGTCCGTTATGTGATCCTGCAAATAATTGCGTGACCTTGTGATATCATGAAAATCCAGCTGCCGTGATTTATTCCAGCTGTCTAGTGAAAAACGTACTTACCTGCTGTACATCACAGTTGCCTCCATTGAGGATGGAGATTCCCAGTTTGAGTGTGGAAGAAACCATGACTCCAGGTTCACCTGGAATCAGACGAGACATCAGTGGTGGAAGTAAAAGTGCCAACACAACGGTGTACAAATGCTCTGTTTCAAGTAAAGCATTCAAAATGTGACTTCAGTAGAAGTACAACATATTAGCAGCAAAATACCAAAAGTAAAAGTGTTAATCATGCAGAATGGTCCGTTTTAGAAGGAAATATGATTTGTTTATTCTGACGCATGAATGAGTTTCACCTCATTGTTGAAGCTGGTAAAAGTGGGTCTAACTTTTACTACTTTATTGTATATTAGAATGTATTTGTTGATTTAATTCTGGATTAATAAGGTGAAGCTGAAAGTACATTTTATTATTTCCAGCATTTCATTCAAAAAACAAAACTTTTTTCTTGTAATAGAAAATTTAAAAAGTCAGTGGTGGAATGTAACTAAATACATTTACTCAAGAACCGTGCTTGAGCACAATTTGAAGGTGCTTGTACTTTACTAGAGTATTTCCATTTTCTGTTGTTTTATTCTTCTAATTTACTACCATTCAGAAGCAAATATTGCACATTTTACTCCACTACAGTTATTTGACAGCTTTAGTTACTTTGAAGACTCACATTAATAATTCAAAAAATATATAAAATCAATTAATAATTGATGCACTGTTTAGGGATTAAGCTACCCAGCAGTATATAAAGTGATTCAAATGACCCCCACCTTCAACAGCTGCAACATGAATGTGATGTCACGTTAAACATTAATGCATATTAATTATAATCCAGTAATATAATATATATTATTCTAAAACTGTCCATTCAGCATAATTAATACTTTTACTTTTGGTCCTGCAAGTATACTCTGATGCTAAATACCTTTCACTCATTTTGAATGCAGGACTTTGACTTGTAACTGATTCTCACTCCTGCTTTTCAGCATTTCTACACTACACTACACTCCTCGAGGCAAAGTGCAGCATCAGCATCATTTGCTGTTCAGTGTCTGAAACACCACTCTATCCTTGAATTCAGTTAACTGGCTGAGGGGAACTGTAATATCACACAGCTCAAAACAAATTAACTATTTATTACCAATTAACCCAGATGGGTCATTCATCATTCTAAGGACAGCCTATAGTGACATTATTTAAAGTCAATATAATATCCGCATCAGTGACAAAACCATGTGAGTGACAGTGTGTGAGTATGTGTGTGTGTGTGTGTGTGTAGCAGCTACCTTTACAGGCACTAATCATCTGCAGCACCATCTCTGCAGCCCCGCGGTTGTGCAGACGCGACTGCTGGTACAGAAGCCTCTGTTTCTCCATCTCCTTGTCCTGTGGAGAGCAAGAGGGACACAGCTGTAACCCTGCCAACGGGGACTGCACTGCCCCCCGCACTCACTCACACACACACTCACACACACACACATCCTTATAATTCTATCCTAATTATGACCATCCATTGACTGCACACAGAGACGTTTCTAATGAAGCTAAAGCTGATGATGACATACAACACATCCAAATTAATATTTATGTTCGCTACAGACTAGATACAAAAAAAAGGTAGCGTTACATAAGTAAGAAAATATGTTTGACAAATAACTGTATCTCATCAGGCCTGTCCTCGTAGTGAGCTTCGACAGATTTAAAAGCCTTTAAAAAAACACTGTCTTAGTCATGAATAGATTTGGGCTCAGGCGCTGGCTGCAGCTCTGGACCTTTACTCATAGAAAAGCCAAATCTAAAACACTAAAACTACGATTAATTCTCACAAAGATAGAGATACAGGAACACACACACACACACACACACACACACACACACACACACACACACA